CCAAAGAAAAGATAAAGAATATCAGATTAAATTAAAAACCAAGACCCAATGCTATCTATAAGAAATCCACTTCAAAAATAAAGATATATATATATAGTTTAAAAGGAAAAGGAACAACTTCCAGCTTCCAGTCTGACACGTAAAGAACTTGGAAAGTATCACCCTCATCCTCACAACAACAAAAAAGCTAACTAAATGAAAACCAATAATACTTCTTAGGTCCGACAGAGAATTGAGGTCACAGGGCAAACCACCACCCAGGAAACTGAAGAAACAGGTGAATACAGAGAATCGCAGCTTACCAGAAGCAGCAACTGGTAGGAAAACTTAAAGAGTAATTGCTAACTGACTAATTGCTGGCCACTGAGTATGGACGAGGTTGAGATAAAAACTCCTAGAAGCCCTACCTTAAGAAGAGCTTTACCTTTTCATGAATTTTACCTAGGAGCCCCATCAGGTTCCCTTCAGGGTAAAGATCAAAAAAATTCTCCAGTGCTTCCTGCAGAGGGAGGGGGGAAAGTAATCATTGTGAAATACACCCAGAGCATTCTGCTCTCTTTAACAAAGACCTGACTTTTAGGAAAACCGCTTTAGAGTCTAACCAACATGGCTTTTACTAGAGCCTAATTGACATGGGGGAAGGAAAATACCCAACTCTAGACTCCTCCAGCCTTTCTGTCTCTCACATAAGTTAGGGGGTGGGGGAGTGAGAAGCACCTGTAAAGATCATAGCCATAGGGGCGCCTGGGTGGCTCAGATGGTTAAGCGTCTGCCTTCGGCTCAGGTCATGATCCCAGGGTCCTGAGATCGAGTCCCAACATCGGGCTCCCTGCTCCTTGGGAGCCTGCTTCTCCCTCTGCCTCTCTCTCTCTCTCTCTCTCTGTGACTCATGAATAAATAAATAAAATCTTTAAAAAAAAAAAAAGTCATAGACATAGACACAGGCCCACTAAAAGACTAAGATCTAGTCACAGGATTATAGAACACTTCTGTTCCCCCTACAACTTACCATGGTATCAATAGGGCTCCTATATAATACCAGAAGATTACAATCCAAAGAACTATAAACTTATACTCCATTTAATTAGTCTCTAAGGAAATCCAAAAATAACAAGGCAAACAAAAACAAGATACCTGGGGCACCTGGGTGGCTCAGTCGTTAAGCGTCTGCCTTTGGCTCAGGTCATGATCCCAGAGTCCTGGGATGGAGCCCCGCATCGGGCTCCCTGCTTGGCAGGAAGCCTGCTTCTGCCTCTCCCAACTCCCCCTGCTTATGTTCCTGCTCTCGCTCTCTCTCTCTGTCAAATAAATAAATAAAATCTTAAAAAAAAACAAAACAAAAAACAAGGATACCTAAAGAATTTTAAATTCTGAATCTTAGCCTTCATCCCAGGCAGAAAATCAATAAATCAGTTGAACAGAATACCACCATCAGCTTGATCAAATTGACATTTATAGATTAGTTTATCCGGTGACAAAAGAATATAAAAGCTTCTCAAGAATACACTATTCCTGGGCGCCTGGGTGGCTCAGTTGGTTAAGCAACTGCCTTCGGCTCAGGTCATGATCCTGGAGTCCCTGGATCGAGTCCCGCATCGGGATCCCTGCTCGGCAGGGAGTCTGCTTCTCCCTCTGACCCTCCCCCATCTCATGTGCTTTCTCTCTCATTCTCTCTCTCTCTCAAATATATAAATAAAATCTTTAAAAAAAAAAAAAAGAATACACTATTCCTGTCATGCTTATGTATAATGTTCACAAAAATGGGCCACATTCTGGCCTATAAATCATACATAAACAATTTAAAAGAAATCACAAAATATGCTTTCAGAACACAATAGAATTAAACAAGAAATCACTAACAGAAAGATAACTGGAAAATCCAAAATATTTGGAGATTAAACAACTTACGAATCAAGGAAGAAGTATCAAAAGAAACTGTAAAATATTTGAAACTGAATGAAAAAATTAAAATTACCAGAAATTGTAGAATACAGTGACAGCAGTGCTTACAGAGAAATTTATAGCATGGAGTATGTATGTTAAAAAAGAAGAGAGATTTAGAATCGGTAATCTAAGCTTTCACCTTAAAAAACAAGAAAAAGGAGAGCAAATTAAACCCAAAATAAGCAGAAGAAATAATAAAAATCAGAACAGAAATCAATGAAACTGAAAACAGGTAAGTTAAAAGAGAAGAAGTCACTGAAACCACAAGCTATTTTTTTTTGAAAGGTCAAGATCAAAATCAATAAACCTCTAGCCTGACTAACCAAGAAAAAAAGAGAGAAGACACAAATTACTGATACCAGAAACAAAAGAGGGGCCATCCCTACTAATTCCATGGATAATAGAAAGGAACATAAAAGAGTATTATGAACAATTCTATTCCCACAAATTTAGTATCTTCAATAAAATGGACCAATTCCCTGAAAGACATAATCCAACAAAATTCACACAAGGAGAAATAATCTGAATAGTCCTACATCTATTACAGAAATTGAATAAAAAATTAATAACCTTCCAAAAGAAATCATCAGGGCTAGGTGTTTCACTAGTGACTTCTATCAAACATGTAAGGAAGAAATGATACAAATTCTCTACAATCTCTTCCAGAAAACAGAACAGAGTAAATATTTTCTAACTCATTCCATTAGGGCAGCGTTATCTAATACCAAAACCAGAAAAGACATTACAAAGAAAGTGAAAGAACAGTATCTCTCATGAACACAAATAAAAAAATCCTCAAGAAAATACTAGCAAACAGAAACCATATATAAAAAGAATTATATACCACAACTAAGTAGGATTTATTCCAGGCATGCAAAGCTGGTTCAACATTCCAAAATTAATTAACGTAATCCTCCATATCAACAGGCTAAAGAAAAAAAAATATATCAATAGAGATAGCATTTGACAAAATCCAACATCCATTCACATGAAATTTATCAGCAAACTAAGAATAGAAAGGAAACTCCTCAACTTTATCTATCCATGAAAAAGCCGACAGCTAACACCATACTTCATGGTGAGAACCTAAGAGCTTTCCCCTTGAGGTCAGGAATAAGAAGGATGTCCCTTCTCACCATTCCCCTGCAATATCATACGGGAAGCCTTACCTAACACAGTAAGACAGGAAAAGGAAATAAAAGGTATAGATTGGGAATGAAGAAATAAAAACAAATTCTACTCCTACAAATTCTACAGAATTTTACTCCTAAGTATTTACCCCAAAAAAGAAAACATACATCCACACAAAAATGTGTACATGAATGCTTACAGAAGCTCTATCCATAATCACCTAGTATGGGAAACAATCTTGGTTAACTACTGCTGCATTACAATTACCCCAAAACAGCAGTTTAAAACACCAAACATGCATTATTTCACAATTTCTATGAGAGAGAAATTTGGGAGGAGCTTGATTGAGCACTTTGGCTCAGGGATGTTCAGGAGTTTGCAGTCAAGTTAGCTGAAGGAATTATCTGAAATCTTGACTGGGGCTGGAGGATCCATTCTATGCTGTTGACAAGAGGCTCAGTTCCTCATGGGCTACTGTCAGGAGGCCAGAGTGCCTTGCCACACAAACCTTTCCACAGGGCCCGTTGTTTCCTCACAAAATGGCAGCTGGCTTCCCCGAGTGAGTGATCCAAACGAGAACAAGGCACAGTAACAATGTCTTTTATCAATCTAATCTCAGAAATCACACACTATCACTTCTGCCATATTCTACTAGTTCCAGACACCAATCCTGACAGTGCAGGAGAGGTCAACACAAGGGCACGAATACCAGGAGATAAGGATCACTGGGACCATTTTGGAAGCTGGTTACCACAAACCTAAATATCCATTAACTGGTGAGTAGATAAACTATGGTACATCCATCCAGTGGAATAGTAATCAGCAATAAAAAGGAACAAACTACAGATATACGTAACAGCATAGAAAAAAATCACAAATACTAAGTGAAAGAGCCAGAGCCAAAAAGCTACATACAGTATGATGTGTTACACTCTGGGAAAGGCATAACCAAAGGGATACAAAACAGATCAAAGGTTGTCAGGAGTTGGGAAGGGGGCAGAAGACTGACTACAAAAGGGCATGAAGGAATTTCTTTGGATAATGGAAATATTCTATATTTGATTGTGATGGTGGTTATACGATCATATGTGTTTGTTAAAATTCATACAACTATACACCTAAAAAGGACAAGTTTTATTGTAAATACACTGTACCTCAAAAATTACTTATAAAAAGAGAACTAAAGGAATCTTGAGGGGAAAAAAAGAGGTTTGGTTGGGAATATTGCTATAGGAGTCTTAATGTGTAAATAACAAGTTTCCAAAGGAAAAGTGACAATTAAACCAATAACATTATAATTAAAGTTACTTAAGCTAAAAAACTTTCTCTGAGCTTAAGTCTACAGATTGAAAGTGCCCATCAAATTATAAGTTAGACAAATGAGAAAAGATACACATGTATCTTGGCATATCCTGGCAAAAGTCTTAAACTTTAAGAACAGAAAAAGTTTAAATGCTTTCCAGAAAGAAAGAACAAGTCGCTTAGAAAAAAAGAGAGATAAGCTTAGGCCTTCTTATTTGTAACAAGAAGGAAATGCTGAAATACTTCCCATAAATTTTTGAGAAAAGGACTGCCACCCAAAAATTCTATCCCAACCAAGAGTAAAATAAAATTATTTAGGAATACCAAATCACTCAAAAAATGTATCACCCACTTACCCCATCTAGGAAACAGCCAACAAAAAATGCTCACCAAATAACTAAATCATTGCAGAGATAGAGGAGGATAAAAGAGACCTTATGAAATACGAAGTGGATATTACTAAAGCAATTGGGAACAGATATATAACAAATGAAAACTCAATTAAATTTATTTTAGAATTAAAATCAAGCATCTAAACAAAAAAGAATATTAAAATCAGTCTAGCATGCAAGGAAACTCTAAGTAGTTATTACAAACAACTTTTTTGTTTTGTTTTCATTTACCTGGTTTGCAAGATGAGAGTGACCAAACAGCTTGTGACCCAATTTCCCGTACTGTTCCAGTTCTTTCCAATTGCTTAGGGTCAGCACCAGGAGGTGTCTTGTTTGGTGTGGTCATTTTTTAAATATTCTATGTAGAAAACAAGAATATCCACATTATACCAGGATCTGAGCATCTTCTACAAAGGGTAAAAATTAAAATTTAATAGCAAAATATATCACTTATATACCCTTGATATTAACCATCTATTTCTCAAATGCAGGTAACATAACTCAATTACTATAATTAAAAAATCTTGAGAATTCAGCTTTTGTTTCTAAAATATATTATGACTTACAAGATGTGCAAAGCAGTAGAGTAGCCAAAGGGCATGGGATCAGAGTTTTAACTTCAGCCTCTCCTTTAGCCTAGACTTTGGGCAGGTCTGGGTTTTATTTCCTTACCTGTAATAGGGGTCAACTTGATCTATAATTCTATAATGCTGTATAATTCTATCCCTGAGTAAAAAAAAAAAAAATTTTTAAAGCTTTTATTTTTAAGGGGCACCTGGGTGGCTCAGGCAGTTAAGTGGCTGCCTTTGACTTAGGTCATGATCCCCGGGTCTTGGGGTTGAGCCCCATGTGCAGCTCCCTGCTCAGTGGGGAGCCTGCTTCTCCCTCTCCCCTGCCCCTCCCCCTGCTTGTGCTCTCTCTCTCTCTCTGTCAAGTAAATAAATAAAATCTTAAAAAAAATAATAAAGATTTTTAAGTAATCTTTACACCTGACATGGGGCTCAAACTCACAACCCTGAGATCAAGAGCTGCACGCACCATCAAATGAGCCAGTCAGGCTCCCCTCTGAGTAAAAATTCTTAATTCAAATGATTTTTTTTCTTTAGAAAAGTTAAATTGAAATATTCTTATTCCAGGAATATGTAAATATTAGTTTCCATTTTACTTATTTTGAATGTAAATTTACTTCAATAATTTATTTTTTTATTAAAGTATAATTAACATACAGTGTTATATTAGTTTCAGGTGTACAATATGACTCAACAATTCTATACATTTCTCAGTCCTCATCACAATAAGTCTACTCTTTTTTTTTTAATTTTTATTTTTAAGTAATCTCTACACCCAACGTGGGGTTCAAACCCACAATCCCTAGATCAAGAGTCCCACCCTCCACCAACTGAGCCAGCCAGGTGTGCCACACTAAGTCTACTCGCAATCCCCTTTATCTGTTTCACCCATTCTGCCACCCACCTACCCTCTAGCAACCACCAGTTTGTTCTCCACATTTAAGAGTCTCTTTTTTTGTTTTGTTTCTTAAATTTCACATATTAGTGAAATCATATGGTATTTGTCTTTCCCTATCAGATTTATTTTACTTTGTCTTATACCCTCTAGGTCCACCCATGTTGTTGCAAACGGCAAGACCTCATTCTTTTTTATGGCTAATATTTCATTGTGTGTGTGTGTGTGTGTGTGTACATCTTCCTTATCTATTTATCTACTGATGAACATCTGTGTTGCTTCCACATCTTGGCTAGGGTAAATAATGCTGGAGTAAATGCAAGGGTGCATATACCTCTTTGAATTAGTGTTTTTGTTTTCTTGGGGTAAATTACCCAGTAGTGGAATTAGTGGATTATATGGTAATTCTATTTTTAATTTTTTGAAGAACCTCCATACTGTTTTCCACAGTGGTTGCACCAATTCGTGTTCCCTCCAACAGTGCACAAGGGTTCCCTTTTCTCCAACAGCCTTGCTAACACTTACTTCTTGTCTTTTTGATTCTAGCCATTCTGACAGGCATAACGTGATTATCTCACAACAGAAACATGAAAAGATACTGAACATCACTAATCATCAGAGAAATGCAAACAAAACCACAGTGAGATACAGGTCTCCGTTTTAAATAACCCATTAAGTGATACATAGAAAAATCACTTCTCCCAAGGTGTCAAAAGTTCCATTTACATGACATAGAAGATAATGTCAGAAAAATGGTTTCAAAGCATAGAAGTGAATAAACGACCCATTCTAAACCCCAAAATTTACTTCTTTTGTTAATCTTGGTAAATCTATGCAGGCATGAAAATAAAATCTCCAGAAGTGAACAATACGTAAAACAGCTTAGATAGTGCAAAGTTACAGATACTGAACATGATTATATATGCTATTATAAACCTGGCCCAGTAGTTCAATATACCATCTCCTTGACACCTTTCAGATCTCAGTTGTTTCCTAATCTCCACACAGCACTTGATACTCATTAAATAATAGTAGAGCCACTAGACTGTAAAATTCAGAAAGGCCTGAGACTTAAATGCTCAATTAGCAATTTACTGAATGAATAAGTGCAGTCGTAAGCTAAACTAAAGTATTTGCCTTCTGCAAGCTAAGGACTAGGATGAGACAAGTAAACCTGTGACTATCACTACAAGTTGAATATCCTGTCGTTGTCAAACGTTCCAAAACGTCAAACTGTACCAAAAAAAAAAAAAAAAGGAAGAAAAGAAAGTAGCTCATCTCTATACTGGAGCAGAAATCAACTGCCCGACTTGGCACTGGACGCCACCCAGTGGATAAAACACGGAGCTCGGAAAAGCCTGGGTTCCTGGCCACCCACTTAAGAATAAGTTGAGGCCAACGAAAGATCGCCATCAGCAGCAGTATTTGGACCAGACTCTGTTGGTCCTGCTTGATACCGCTGCGAGAAATGCTAGAATGGGCCAATGGCTCTCCAGCGGCCTTGAGATCGGGAGCGGAAAAAGGGGCTGAGAATGGGGATGAGAACGCGTCTGCTTACGCTAGAACCATTCTCCACATCGGGGGAAAAAAGCCCACGCACTTACAGCTTACAGACCCGGCTTGCCGCAACCCAGCTTTTTAGGATACCCTGCAGCTCCGTGCCACTCCCACTCAGGACAGCCCGGCTTTCCCAACGACGTTAAATTGGAGTCGCAACACAATGACGTCAGTTCTCGCCGGCTTGCCGGACCAACTCCAGGGCTCCGCCTGTCGCTCTCTGTCGCGCGCGCGCACTACGTCCCTAAGGCATGCGCGAGGCGGTGGCTGAGCGCCGCCATTTTGGCCGGTGGCCGTAGGAACACGCCGTGTGGGTGAGAAGTGAAAGGAAGAACTGATTTGGCTTCTGAGCTCCCCTCCGCGAGGGGATCGTTTTCTCCAGGTACGTAACTAGCCAAGGAAAGTTTGGTCGTTGGTTGCGGCCTCACACGATTTAAAGACTGTAGGGACGTTCTCTGAGAGCCCTTGGTGAGGCCTCCGGTGTCGGCGGCGGAGCACGCAGCGGCGCGTGGCAGCCGGCTCGGAAGGGACAGCTGGAACGGCCAGAGCGGGGGCGCCGCCGAGGGCTCGGAGGCACGTCGCTCTTCCCTTCCAGCTGACCTGGACCTCGGCCACTGTGGCTCGCCACCCGCGCAGGGGCTACCAGAATGGACTTGGATGCCATCTCAGAGATCCGGACTCCACCGTCTCCACTCCCGCTTTACTACGCTCTTGCCCGAGAGCTGACAGAGAAGGCAACTTCAGAACTTAAAGCATCCTCTTTTTCCCCCATCCTTACCCTGACACAGTGAAATGGACATATTGTCACACATGCGTATTTGATTATAGGAAGTCGTGGCCTTTTCTTCCACGGCTTCTCTGGTGATTATGGAATGAGTCATGGCATTTTGCCGCCATGAAGTCGAATCCTTCTTACCCGTTCCCCGTCTTTATAGAAATGATGGGCAGTTGTCGCTCTACTTTTCTCATAGAGCAACGTGTATTCGGTTATCCCAAGTAATCTCCCAGTTCAACGCCTCTAGCTTTTTTGGTGTGCTTTTATAGTACTTGGCACTTTCTTCTTGGTGACTTGTTTTCCCTGTCTTTATATAAACTGCATGAGATTAGGAGTGCAGCGGTTCCTACCTTGTAGACACGGTGGCCAAAGCCAATACCCACATCCCATAAACTACATAAACTTACTTTTATCTTTTTGTGTGTGTGGTAAAGTCCATAAGAGTGAGAACTGTCAAAACAATGAGGAGGGGTGTGGGAGGGGTTATGCTGGTGTTTTTGTTGTTGTTTTGTCTTCTCTTCCACAGGGACTGCTAGCTAGGCATTTATGATAGTGGTGGTTGTGTTGCGTTTCTCAGTACATTTGCCTCATATACTGAAAATAATCGTACTATATCAGCTACCTGACAATAATGCTTTGTCAGTGTTAACCAAGGGTTCTTCATCTGTATTTGTCCCCAAAGGGTATTTTTTTGTGTTAAAAATCTTGTTATGCCCATTAAAAACATTTTCTTAGGAAGAACATTTAATACAATTTCTGAGAGGAAAAAAAAGTATTAATTGGGTGTCCCTTCTAAATGTCTTCAGTTTAACACTCTGAAATCAAGAGTTGTGCACCACTCCCAAGTTACATGTTTTATAAGACTAATAACTTACCGTAACCATAGGTTAAAATATTTTATGTGATATCAGGCGTCATTTGTTCACAGCAGTCTTTTAAATGCTTTCACATGATGTTATAATAATTTTGGTCTTAGACTGAAACTGCTTTCCATAATGCTTCTCACTTCTTTTTTTACTCCCAGCTGGAAGAATGACAGTGAGGGTCATTGTTTGAGTACCTATTTTGAACAGTTTATCTTCAGATCTGAAATATCTTCAAATTCCTCTTTGTCTCCAGGAGTCTGTTACTACCCCCTCCCTCCCTCCCGCGGTTTTACTGTGCTGTATCTCATTGAAAAAGAAATAGGGATCCCTCCTCCCCAATTCTTGAAAATAACATACAAGTTTAGTCATCATTGTTCACACAAGTAACAGTTCTACAAAGAATTTATATTCCTTATTCTTAAATGCATTATAATTTATCACTTTCTTATACAGATCAGCTTATTACTATCTCTGGTATGTTTTTATTTTTCTGTAAGTCATCTCTTTCAGTCACTTGGTTTTTAAAATGGTTTGAAATATCAGATGAAACACTTTAGTAGTTTGGCAGAAATAAAGTTTAGCATCAGCAATTTTGTGATAAAAGATTTATTCTCTAGAAGGGACTTCATGACATTCATTCACCAGGTAATTTGTATGGTGTCCAGCTTTATTTTAATAACTAAAGACTTCACTTTTTCAGGGAGTTGTCACTTAGAGTGAAACCTTTTTTGTAGCAATTCAAAAGTCATTTAATTTCTTTCTCTTCTAGTCTTAATGAAAACTGGACCAGTTTTTAAAGGTTTTAAGGGGGTAGAGTGGATCTATGAGTTTCCATAATTCTGTTTATTACATAAATATGTAGTGTCCTCTTGGGTGATTTTTTTTTTCCCCAGTATATACTTTAGTGGATAGCTGTTACTACGAAATATTGACAGTATTTCTGAAGTTACTATAACCTATAAGAAATTATTTACTATGTCTAAATTCATTTTTTCATTTATTCAACAGAAATATCTGAGCTTTTATGATGTGCTGGGCACTAGTTTAGCCACTGGGCTGAACAGACAAAAAATCCCTGCCCTCATGATGGAGTATCTTTTACTTGGAGTGGGAAAAATACTGTGTGTACAGAGAAAGAGTATATAAATACATGTATATACACACAGTAAATATGTACATAAACCATATGTACACATACATACGAAATATATGCTGTGCGGTATAGTAGAAAGAGCTAAAGAGTAAGCAAATCAGGAAAGAAGAAAACAGAAAAGCAGTTGGGTATATTTTTTGGTAGTATAGTTAGAAAAGGCTAACTAAGAAATAAACATTAAAGACTTGAAGTAGTGAGCCTTGTAACTCACTAGGGGGAATAGCATTACAGGCAGAGGGAATAGAAAATGTCAGGGCCCTGAAGCAAGAACATGTTTGACATGTGCTAAGAATAGCAAGGAGCCAGTATGGCTGGAGCAAAATGAGCAAGAGCTAGAGTAGTTGGAGATGACATCAGAAAGTAATAGAGGCTGATCAGTACCTCATTAATTATTTTAAGGACTTTGGCTTTTACTCAGAATGAGTAGGGAAGCCATTGCAGGACTTTAAGTAGAGGAGTGACATGATGATCCTGGCTTAAACTTAAAAAGGATCATCCTGACTTCTGTAGTGAGAAGGAACTGTCAAAAGTCAAGAGTAGAAGGAGGTAAGAGTAAAGCAGAGAGACCTGATAGGGACCTATTAGAGTAATGCCGATAAGAAATAATGGTGGCTTAGACCAGAGTGATGAGAAATGGTCAGATTTATGAAGGTAAATTGGACATAATTTGCTGTTGTGGCATGTAAAAGATAACTGCAAGGATTTTGGCTTGAGTAAATGGAAGACTGGAGTTGTCATTTAACAGAATGGGCAAGACTGCTAGAGAAGCAAATTTTGGTGGGGACATCAGGAGTTCAATTTGGGAGATGCATGTTAGACCTTGAGGAAGAGATGTTGGGTAGTCGGGTAGATAGATACACAAATTTAGGGTTAGGAGAGGTATCCTGGCTAGAGAGAGAAATTTGGGAGTTAGCAGCATATAAATAGGATGTAAAGCCATCAGATCAGAGTAGAATACCTTAGAGAATGAATATAAATAAAAAATGTGACCGAGTATTAGAGCACCTCTCAACTTTCAGTAGCCTAGAAGATGAGGAAAAGTGACCAAGAAAATAGGAGGGAAACTAGATTAGTGCTGTGTCCCAGAACCAAGTTAAGAAAGGGTTTCTATCTTTAGGAAAAAGTCATAATTTGTGTCAGATGCAATAGGTGTTCAGGTAAATTAAGAACGGTTAATTAATTGTTTTACCCATGTATAGAGTAGTGGTGACCTGATAAATTGTTTTGATGGAATGATGGGCACTAAAGTCTGAAATGGAGTCCAGAAAAAATACATAGAAATTTGGAACACTGACCGTAGGCAACTCTTTCAAGTAGTCTTGCTATAAAAGGAAGGAGAAATAAAGCAATGGGAAAAGATAGGGTCAGATAATAGAATGTTTTGAATGCTAATAGGAACGAGCCAATGGAAAGAATAACTGATGATATGAAAAACAGGAGAGAGAATTGTTAGAATATTCCCCTTAGCAGATGTCTTTTAATGTACAAGTAGACTTCACTGTGGAAATATATATAACGTGATTGCTGGTTGGCATAAGGGTTCACATGAGATGACACTAGTCAGCATGGCTTTGCTTTTTTGTCTACCCATTTTCAGCTTTATGTGTGCAGATGAAGAGTTGTATGTAACCAGGATTGTAGTTAAAGGTATAAATGATTGACAAGAAAATTTTAGCTTAGTACAGAGGGACGTGAAGATACAAGAGCTGAGGGACCGTGGAAATGTGGTAGAATCAAGAGGTAATGACAATAGGTCTAGGGAATGGGGGAGTTCAAAGGGTTGTTGGATTGTTGGGTACAACAGGGGTAAACTGAAAAGATAGGAGTGGTGGTTGGAGAATGGGGTATTTGAAATGGAGCTTATAAAAGGATTGCAGTTATTGGTAATAACAAGGTCAAGGATTTCACCAAAGGAATGAGGGGTTGAGGGAGGGTGAAAGAAAGATCACTGAAGGAGAGAGGTTACTGAACTAAGAAGACAGGCTATTAATAGAAAGATCATCTATGAACATACTGAAATCAAGAATTATGACAGGAGCTGTAAAAGAGTGAAAATTAGCCAAGGGCAGAAGTCCTCAAATGGAAGGGAGTGATCTGATGGTCAGTGAATGACTAAAGCAGTTGGATGATCTAGAGGCAAGAGCTGACTTTTTAGCGAGGAGGGAGAGAGATAAGATAGTCCGGGAGCAACACTGAGGAACCTGCTGTCTTATCCCTCTCCACTAATGGTATTGCAGCATGTGAGAAAGACAGAGGTCTACAAAGGGAAGCAATCTGTCAAAAAAAAAAAAAAAAAATCAGAATTGATTATCACAGTTCTTGATAGAAAAGGCCAACAGATTGTCTTTGTCAGTGGGTAGTCTTTTGGCTTCAGGTTCTGCCATTACATACCGGAATAACCTGGAATTTTAAGATAGTTTTTGGAATTATTTACTTTAATCACTATTCTGAGAAAATTGATGTCTGTCACTAAGTCCAATATTATAGAAGATTTTTAAGTTCACTTTGACCTTAGTTGCATAATTGATGGCACTGTTAATTATTAAGACTTATAAAAGCTTTAAAAGTGAGCACATCTATACTTAGGGTTCCTTAGTTTTCTTTTCATATTAATGCTATTAGCATAAAATTCATCTTGGCCATATTACAAATTCTCAGAGAAATGCAGTTTTAATTTTTTCCTCTTAATCAATATCATGGTCACAACCTTAATAATAACTACCATTAGTAGCATCATTAATAGTCAAATAAGACATGAAGTAATACTTAATTTGAGGGAGGGAATAGACATCTTTATTATGTATTTTTCACATCAGCTCCTATTCTGTTTTATTGGACTGTCTCACACTGGTATCAGTATTAGTTACAGAGACATTATATCATTTTTGTCCATCAGGTATAGTTTCCCCATCCCTTTTGTTCTTTTTCTTTTTCCTAGCCATTCTTTTTGCATAAGAGCTTTCATTTTGGTTTGTCTGGTTTTTTTTTTTTTTTTTCCTTTGAAATTGGATTAAATGTGTAAATTTGAGGAAGGCTGAAATCTCTGGTATTGACTATTCTATATTATAAAAACTGAGCCAGTATGTCATTCTGTTTGTTCAGGTCTTTTATGTTTCTCGGTTATGGTTTGAAAGTTTCCTCACATGTATATATTTTTGTTAACTTGATTCCTAGATCTTTTCTTTTTTGTGACCATTGAAAATGATGTTTTTTCTTTTTTATATGAATCTTCTGATTAGTAGTATATATGTAAAACTTTGTTTTTTCATCCTTACTATTTTATTGCTTTTACTAGTTTTTTTAGTAGTTCCAGATAATCATATCTGAATATAGTGATAATTTAATGCCTGTGACTCATTTCTCTTAACTAATTGCATTGACCGTACCATAATTTTGTTAATTTTTCTTTAATAGAAGAGTTGGATATTCTTACTTTCTTAGAATTATGGCGGATAAATTAACAAGAATTGCTATTGTCAACCATGACAAATGTAAACCTAAGAAATGTCGGCAGGAGTGCAAAAAGAGTTGCCCTGTGGTTCGAATGGGTAAGCTGTTCTATGGATCATTTAAAGATAAGAGAAGGTTAAAAGAAGTAAATTGGCTTCATAGTTCTCTAGGCATATACTTTTTTCCTATTAGTTTCTTTAAAATATAGGGATAAGACCAGATTTTGTTCTAAATTTATTTTACTGCTTTGTGACCAAATGATCCTATTTTTGTTAATGGTAGAATAACGTATTTTTATCAGTATTTTTTAAAGTTCATTTTGACTATAAAATCAGTTTGTTACTGAGATTCTTACTGTTCTAGAAAAGTTCTATAATTACTTTAAGTCATGGAGAAAGGACTAATATATTTGTTTTTGATAGTATTCTCATTTTAAAAAGCAAGAATGAATAGCTTACTAAGAATGGCTGATTCATGAGATTTTGCTATATTTTCAAGATTAAATAAATTTAAAACAATCCAGAATTATTGGTAGTCTTTAAGGGTTACATTTAGATAATTGTTACTTTTACTGTATTAGTGAGGTGTAAGCTTTTTGATTCTTAAAAGAAACTTTAGATGTCATCTATTATATTCTACCATGCTATTTAGAAATTCCATTATTAATATCCCTAATGTCAAGTTTAATTTCGTGTGTATATTGGATGACTACATACCTTTTCAGAGTATCACTGATTTAACTAATGTATTATATTCCTTTCTCTACATTACCATTTCCAAGGCATATAGTGTGAATTAAATATTCAGGTCAGACTGCTTAAAAATAAAACTGTTATGGGAGCACCGGTCTGGCTCTATAAGAGCTTGCAACTCTTGATCTCGGGGTCATGAGTTTGAGCCCCACAGTGGAGGTAAAGATTACTTAAATAAATAAACTTTTAAAAAAATTAAAAAATAAAGCTTTCAGGATCTGCCATAGTTTATGAGCATATTTTCTTCCCCAGTAGTAAATTAATATATACTAATTATAATTAATCCCCACAAAGCACTGATTTTTTTTAGGATATTGTCTCAATTGTATTTCTTTGTGTGGCCTTTGTTTTTCACAATCTGCTTCGGTATGGAGATTTAGAACCAGAATTACCTAAATGACAATGTTCAGAAAATTAGAATGGCAAGGAAAATAACGTAACTCTCTTTTTCTTTGCCAGGAAAATTATGCATAGAGGTTACACCCCAGAGCAAAATAGCATGGATTTCTGAAACCCTTTGTATTGGTTGTGGTATTTGTATTAAGGTAAGTGATACTTTATTTATGGGATTAAATTTGGAACCTCAAGAAGTCAGAAAATTCTGAATACATTATAACTATTTTTAAAGAGGCAAAATATAAAGCAGTGAATTAAAAATGTAAATTTAGGAAAATGGTGTTCTGTCAATAATCTAGTATTTAATATTGTTGCTTTTTGAAGTAACTAAACCACCCTATGTAAAAGTTATCCTTGCCCTACTCAACTTTGGAAAGCCATTTCCAACCAAAATTTCTCTTTTTTCACCCTTTTTTTTCCCTCACCCTTCTTTGAGAAGGACATTCTTTCCCATGTCTTTACAAGTACTTGGAAATGTGAATACAAAAAGTGTGAGTCATATTACATGCAGTTCCTTCAAGTCTGTATTTAACTTTAAATCATACCTAAATGCATACAGCCAAAATTGTTTGAATTTAACCTAATCCTTAAGTGCTTTTGCTATATTATACATTCTTCTGTTGCAGTTATCACAGTAGTGTAATTTTTCAAAATACCTCAATTAGTTTTTGTTGCATTGAATAGTTGGTTAGGGCTTTTAACTTTAAAATGATAGATTTCCAAATTTAGTTCATAAACAGTATTTAAGAACCAATACGTTAAATTCTTAATTTAGGTATTTTTATTTGTAGATAATATTTTTAGAAAGGAACTTTACCAGAGTATGGATACCACCCTGTTAACTGATTCTAATAAGGCTTATGTATATTTTACATTTGTTTCTGAATCCTTAGTTAAGTATCCAGAAAGATTTCGTTGGTATCTAAAAGTGTTTTCTCTTGTTTTGAAAATATAATCAGGAAACATTCCTCCCAGCAAACACTTACTAATATCTTGTTATATGCCTGTCAATGTTGCAGGTGCTGGAGATCTGATTTTGAACAATATATTATCTTCTACTCTGTTTTCTTCTTTACTGCTATAGAAGAATGAGATCCCAAATTTTGGGGTATACTTCAGTGGCTGAAAAGATACTGATGTGATGAATCTGTTTGAGGGTGGGGGTAGTATATACCCTCTGAACCCTAAGATACTTAAAAAATGTATGGATTTTTTTTCTTGTAAATTTAAAGAAGCTTAGATTACTTTGCAGCCTATAAACATATTATGTACATTGATAGAATAATAGAAAATTTCTGTAAATGGAGGTAACTCCATTGGCAGAAAACTACCTTGTGTGAAGAAGAATTAATAGTTTTGGTTAGAGTGTGGTAATTACATTATTAGAACACAAGAGTTTGGGCGCCTGGGTGGCTCAGTTGGTTAGGCGACTGCCTTCGGCTCAGGTCATGATCCTGGAG